AGGAATAACAAGTGTAATATCCACTAAAGCAAAGCTTAAGTATATAACACCAACAGATCCTTCCAAGGTTTCAGCTGTTTAGAACTGGTCGACACCGAAGAGTCCGTCCGAGGTTCGAAGTTTTCTCGGTTTAGCTGGCTATTATCGCAGATTTATTGAGGGCTTTTCCAAGATTGCCCTCCCTTTATCCCAGCTGACGAGGAACTCTGTGAAGTTCAAGTGGACTGATCGTTGTGAGTCGAGCTTTCAGGAGCTCAAGAAGAGACTAACTTCAGCATCGGTGTTGACTATTCCCGATCCTTCTTGGAGTTTCACCATTTTCAATGATGCTTCGAGACAGGGTTTGGGATGCGTACTTATGCAGGATGGCCAGGTGGTTGCTGCAGTTGTTCACGCTCTCAAGATTTGGCGACATTATCTATACGGCGGTCGATGCGAGATTTTCACAGATTACAAGAGCTTGCAATATATTTTCACTCAAAAGGAGCTCAACATAAGACAGCGTTGTTGGCTAGAGCTCGTCAAGGATTACGATTGCTCGATCCAGTACCATCCGAGAAAGGCGAACGTCGTTGCTGATGCCCTAAGCCGTAAGATGAGGGATGACTTGACGTATGTTGTTACTCAGCAGAGTCATTTGATTCAGGAGTTCACCCGGATGCAAATTCATGTATTTGATGCACTTCCCACCGCCATTTCGGGGAGTGTCAGTTCCATGTTGATTCAGCCGACGCTGAGAGATAGAATCCGACAGGAACAGGCTTCTGACAAATTCGTTCGTGTCATTAATGCCAAAGTTCGCGACGGAGGCGTCGAGGGTTTTCAGCGAGGCACCGATGGGGCCTTGGAGTTCCTCGACAGGATTGTGGTGCCAAAAGTCGAGGCGTTGCGGAAGGAGATATTGACTGAGGCTCATACCGCACCCTATCTAGCCCATCCCGGAAGCACGAAGATGTATCATGACCTGAAAGGGTCATTCTGGTGGCGAGGAATGAAGAAGGACGTAGCCGACTTTGTGAGGAGATGTTTTACCTGTCAGCAAGTCAAAGCCGAACATAAGAGTACGATAGGCCTCCTCCAACCACTGCCGATTCTGAAGTGGTAGTGGGAGGAAGTCACGATGGATTTTGTCACGGGGTTACCGAGGTTGTCTGAACATCATGATGCTATTTGGGTCGTGGTTGACAGATTAACTAAGGTCGCTCATTTCTTACCAGTACCGATGAAGATGTCTTTGGACAAGTTGGCTGAGATTTATACTCGTGGAATCATTTGACTCCACAGAGTGCCTGTTACTATCGTGTCAGACAGAGACCCCAGATTCACCGGTAGATTTTGGTAGAGTTTACACGAGGCGATGGGCACGAAGCTAGAGTTCTGTTCAGCCTACCATCTAGAGACTGATGGACAATCTGAGCGGACCACTCAGACATTGGAGGACATGTTACGTGCTTTGGTTGTTGACAGGGGTGCTAAGTGGGAGTCGTTGTTGCCCTACGTTGAGTTCACGTACAACAACAGTTATCATTCTTCTATTCAGATGGCTCCTTACGAAGCACTTTACGGTCGTAAGTGTCGTTTCCCTCTTTATTGGGACGACATCGGCGAGCATCGAGTACTCGGTCCGAAGATGATCGAGGAAACAGCAGATCAGGTCAAGTTGATCTGGCAGAGACTCAAGACAACTCAGAGTCGACAGAAATCCTCAGCGGATCAGCATCGACGAGATATTCAGTTCGACATTGGCGAGCCAGCTTTTCTCAGAGTTCGTCCATTCCGCGGAGTTGTTCGATTCGGGAAGAGAGGGAAGCTGCACCCTCGATTCATTGGCCCGTTCGAAGTTCTCAAGCGAGTGGCGATGTTGCGTATCGATTGGCCTTACCTCCCGAGCTATCCAGTATTCATAATGTTTTTCATGCATCCATGTTACGTAAGTACGTGTGCGACCCCGATTATGTCATTCCTCATACCGACATTCAGATTCAGCTAGATCTATCTTACGAGGAGCGACCGGTAGCTGTACTGGACCGTCAGGTTCGTCGGCTCTGGAAGCGAGATGTTCCCCTCGTTCGTATTCAATGGGATCGCCACGGAGCTATTTGGGAGCAGGAGGCTGATATTCGCGCTCGTTTTCTCGACTTTCAGTTTTGATGTACATATTTTCTTATGTTTCATGTATATTCAGTATCGTTTTGTATTTCTGAGGACGAAAATTTTTAAGGCGGGAGGATTGTATATCCCGTCATGTTATTAATATAAATCATGCGTTTAGTTCCGACATAATAATATTGTCGATTATTATTGTTCGGAATTAATTATTTCAGTCAAGATTATCCGAAATTATTTTCGAAGTCACCTTTACGTTCGGAATAATTTTGGTAAATTAGTATCATGCTTAGTTAAATAATTAAGCACAAAATTGTGCTTAATTAAGGTTAATCATGCTCAGGTATTAAAATGTCGTGGGCATTATCAATTAAAATTCATGGGAGACTTATTTCTATATTTAAGCTTGAGGTGGCTAATTTTCCTTCACATAAGTAATGACTAATCTCCCATTTAGATGACATAGCTTTCATGCATGGCAAGTGGAGGCAAATTATTGGCAAAAAATTTAATCCTCACCTCTTCAATTCTTTCGGCTATATATTAGGTTAAGTGGGGAGAAATTCTTCTTCACTTAAATTCATATCTTGAGCTGCTATATGTTGAGAGTTAGGGAGAATTTTAGATTATTAAGCTTAAGAATTCACGGAAGAAGCTTAGCCACAAGTCATGCTCAAGGCGACCGCACGCGCACGAGAATTCATGGAGGTTTATAATCACTCGAGCTATTAAGGAGGTAATCTCCTTATTGATATTGTCTTGATGTTAGTATGTTCCTCCTCAGTTCAAATCCTAGGCTTATAGCTCATGAATTAGCCTTAAAATTGCTCTCGGCCGTGCAAATGAGACCATGACGAACATGTTCATTTTTTATCCGAAACTCTCGAGTAATTTTCATGTATTCAGTCATTTTATACCATTGTATGTTCAACTAATTCATGTTTGTTGAGAGTATTTCATGTTCGGTCGAGGAGGTGGCTTAAAGCCGTAGGCGGTGCACGGTGCGCACGCCACCGGCCACCTTAGCTCATCATGCGAAAATTTATGATTTTTAAGTATAATCAGCAGATTTGATCATGTCATGATATTTCATGTTGGTTCATATAGTAAGTGGTCAGAGGAGTTGTTAAGTGGCCGAACGTATTGGCCGTAGCGTCGGGTCGCATCTACGCGCACGCTACAACCATGTTTCAAGTCATGTCGATGTTTTGCCCGTGCAATTTCATGATATTATATGTTTATGAGCATGTCAAGTCATTTCATGTTGTTTTATGTTAAATCGGTCGAGAGAAATCGCCGGACAGCCGGCAGGGGCCGATCGTGGCCGCGCTGCCCGCACACAGCGGCAGCAGCGCGCCGACAGTCAGCCAGTGAGACAGCGTGCGTGTATGCCGCGGAGCGTCACGCACAGCCCGCCGCAACAACAGTTCGCTGGCGTTGCCCAGTGCACGCTAGCAGTTCACCGCGCATGCCAGCGCCCGCGTTCATGCCTCAATCGCCTGCTGCGGTGCGCGGTAGCGTCCAGCAGCGCCAGTCACGCTTGTGCCCGTGATAATAGCGCGGGGCAGTGCCCAGCCGATTCCTACGATGCGCCAGGCGCACGCACGCGTCCCAGCAGCCTACAGCTGCGTTCAGTTGCCCGCCAGCCGTGGCACGCCAGCGCACGCTAGCGCGCACGCCTGTGCACTGTGTTGTGCTACAGGCCCTGCAGTCACCATGCCCCAGCCAGTCCAAGCAGCGCCAGCGCCCGCGGCCTTGGCAGGCCCGTTGGCCGAGCAAGCGGCCGACCGCCCGACCACAGCAAGCCGGCGGTCCGGCGAGACCGGTTCAGACCGGTTTAGACCGGTTGGACCGGTTCAGGCTATATTTTAATGTTTTTAGTCGCAGTTCATGTTCAAGTCTCTTTTTCAGTTAAAATTCTGGGTCCAGTTCAGTTCAGTAAATTTATATCAGTTTAGTTCCGTATTTAATCGGTTCCAGTTATACCGATTAAATCCAAATATCATGTCAAATCTAGTAGAGCATCTTAAAAAATTAAACAGCTATTTTTATCAGTCTGAGCATAGTACTTAGTAATTGTTTATATTATATTTCAGTCTGATCAGGCTTTAGATATCAGCACTACCTTTCATTTTCAAAGA